GGTAATGTTTGGTAAATACAAACATTAGGAATTGAAATCTTTCTATTTTTGGATATCTAAAAATTAATAATTCTTTGTTTTTCTATTCCATTTAAGTTTAATTTTGTGGAAAATAATTTTCATATTATAATTCCTGCTTTAGTACTTGTAGTTAAAAAAACTACACATTATAGGTACCTTTACAACATTTTGTTTTAATTTTTCCATAATTTCTTCCGTCGTGTACAATAAGGTATTCACCCTGTATGAACTAATTTTCGGTGAAGTACAGAGCCATTTCAAACAACTTTGTAGGCGCGTTTTATTTTGAATCTGTAAAAATTATGCAGGTTGGCAAAAATATAAAAAAAATAAAATACTTTTAGAATACCCATGCATCCTCAGATGTCAATTTTTCAGAATTCAAAAGTAAGTTGTAATCAAAATTCTCTTCAAATAGATAAAGCATTTCTTTAAACTAAATATTTATGTAAACTCTGGAATAGCCGATTTACAGACTATACCCGAATTAATAAAAAATAATCGAGTTTTTACTTTGACAGGTAACTTCCATGTTTACAACTATTTTCTAAATGTTGGCGGAATGTCTGTCACGTGATTAATAACTGACCAATGATTTTAGTTTATTTCACCGAGACGTGGCAAGAGAGTACAAATCCTTCCACGTCCGCCATATTGACGTGCACGTCAACTGTAGGGGATATATTTCGTGAATGTGTTAGCATTTTTCTATTTTTGAAGATTTAGAACAAAGAAGTAAGTAAAAAAGTAGTGTGGGTTATATATTTGTGTTAGGTCTGTAAGTATCTTATTTGTAATGTATAATAATGAAATAAATTAACTTGGTTTAACAACGGTATATTGGGAGTTGGTTAAAGGTGGTATCACAAATCGGCATTTTAGATTAGCATTATTTAAAGACGTTATTAACGCAGTTTTGTCTCCTTTTGATGTAAGTATGTACATTATCGCAAACATATCGATATACCGTTTTGTTGTACAGAAGTGCAGAATTTTTTAACCTAAGATCAATATGCCATTTTCATTAACGTGTTTTTTGGTTCAAAAGGGTAGCAGACCGTGAAAAATATTCTCTCTAGTTGTCTATAAATTAGGGATAGATTTTTTGAATGCAAAATCACAAATATTTTTCATTTTAGATATCATCCAAAACCTGGAACCATGGGGAACATGTTTGCAAATTTATTTAAAGGCCTTTTTGGCAAAAAAGAGATGAGGATATTGATGGTAGGACTTGATGCAGCTGGTAAAACAACAATTTTGTATAAATTAAAACTAGGAGAAATTGTTACAACAATTCCTACTATTGGTAAGTAGTATATCATAAATTACAACTGGAAATTGGATTGCAATATTCTAAATTTAGTTTTTTTATTGTATATTTATTGGTTAATTAAAACCAATGACTCATGCAAGGAGAGTTCATTGTCCTTGAAAGTGGCTCACTGTTTCATTATTGTTTATAGGATTTAATGTGGAAACTGTAGAATATAAGAATATAAGCTTTACTGTATGGGATGTAGGTGGTCAGGATAAAATTAGGCCATTATGGAGACATTACTTCCAAAACACACAGGTCAGTGATAACATATTCTTACTGTTGTTGTGTTTCTATATTTTACATGCATTAAAGGTAAAATTGCTTCATTAGACTGCATACCTATGTAGCGAAACATTACTACAAGATAATCTCACTGACAATTTCAAAAGTTAATTGTTTATATAAATTTTGCTGAATTATTTTTATTGTGTAATGCTTTCTAATTTGTGTTAAGTTCCATTCATTATTAATCTAATTCATGTTGTTTATTGTTATCTTTTTTATTATCTTTTGCAGTATATAAGCACTTATATGTCCTAGAATATTTGTTCATGTAGTTATATTCAATTGTTTTTTTTTTTACTACAAACAGTTGAAATATTAAAAATGAAAAAGTAGGTGTAAAGTACCTATAGCAGAAATACATAATTTTAACAAAATCATTTTGTTTGCCAGTTAAAAAGCACCTTTCAACAAAAAGTTTTTTTGCCTTTTTTACATTAGTCACAACATAATAAAATAATTCGTTATTAGGTATTACAATTACTAAATAACTATACAAGTCATAAATGGATAAGATAAAAAATATGTTTGTAATATTTTTTTGATTAAAACTCACTCATTAAATAACTGGAAAGAACTAATATTCTTTATAAATCAAACTTAGATAATGACAGAAAATGTAGTTTTCATTTTTTGAATTGTTATAGAAATTATGTCACTAATGTTTTCATTTATCATTTACATCAGTTTACATTTTGTCTTTATAAAATTAATTTAGCAAATGAATAATTTTGTTTCTATACATTAAAGTTGCTGTAGTTAATTTTTTTTAATTATTTGGGAGAAAATAGTTTTTTGTAATTAAAGATCATTCATAATATAATACAATATATCTAAACTGCATTTAAAACTGAAGTAGTCAGTAGTTTTAAAAGAGTTTACAATTAAGCATGTAGAGTTAAAAAAAATAACATCTTAATGTAGTGTTTAATTGCAGGTCAAATGAATTTGTAATGTGAATAACTATTTTATTCATATATAATAGAACCACTGAATGGTTTTTGTAAAAGTTGTTTTACTGTCTGCTGATTTAAAAAATATAAATGAAAAGATTATAAAGTTATTTGGCTTGTTTTCTTTATTTTTCAGGGCCTCATTTTTGTAGTGGACAGTAATGATAGGGAACGTATAGGTGAGGCAAAGGACGAGTTGATGAGGATGTTAGCTGAAGACGAGTTGAGGGATGCAGTGCTTTTAATATTTGCAAACAAACAGGATTTGCCAAATGCAATGAACGCGGCCGAGATAACAGACAAGTTGGGCTTGCATTCGCTAAGGAACAGAAACTGGTACATTCAAGCCACCTGTGCTACTAGTGGAGATGGTTTATACGAAGGCCTTGATTGGCTTTCTAATCAGTTAAAGAATGCAAATCGTTGAAGTGAAGTGTGTTACGTTTCGCAATCGTTTTTCAGACGATTGTCTTTCGAAAACTGGTTGGACTATCAGTGTTACTGTACCGTATGTTGCAATTATGATATTTTAGCAGTTGTCTGATGTATGATTAAAAACTACAAACTAAATAAACCTATCTGATTTCTAATTATTTTATCGGTGATCGTTTCAGCCCGATCATACATTGGACAAGAGCAACGATAGTGAATATTTTTATAGTGTATTTATGCTTTATTAAAACTTATTTGGTATGAAATGACTTGTGTTGTTTCTCTGCTTCTCCTTTTAATAAAGCAGTTTTTAATTTATTTTAGTTTTGTTATTTCAGGGAAGGATATATAAAGGCCGTATTTGTATATGGAGATTCGTTTTTATTGGAACACATTAGCCTTATTTTAATATACAAAAAATGTAAAACCTAATTGATTTTTATTATGCCCATTTTTAATAAAAGAAACTATTAAAAGACAATGCTAGCTTTTCTTTGCTCTTTATTTATTTCAAAGCAGTGGCATAGGTTTGAACTTTTTTTTGATGAGTTTTTGTATTTGCTGATGACAGTATTTGTGATCCAATAAAAGCGGGCCACCTTGTACATGGAAATTATAGGTTTGTTTTGCTTGGCAAGAATTATGGGAATGGTGGTCTGCTTTTTGGCACTCTGTTAATTATTCGTATAATTTTGTTGGTATAGTGTGCTTTTTTCAGCATAGATTTGTTACTATAGTTTGACTCATCAGCATTTTGATCTGTGATAAATGATACAAGTTTTACTAATTATTTATTAGCATCGTAACTGTGCACCTTTATCTGTACAGACATTAGTTTTGGTGCAAGTGTAGTAAATTTCTACCATTACATAATTAAACTAAACCATGGCAAACTCGTTCCTTTTTCAAGCTAATAAAATATAAGGAATTCTGATTTTAAGTGTTTCGCTAAAAGGGTTCCTACTGAAGAATAATAACTAACAATTTGTTAAAATATATGCTAATTTATTTAAAAAAAAATGCACTGCCTTTGAAGAAGTTTAAGGAAAGAAAACGCTAATGATGTACCAATAAAAACCTCACTTATGGAAATCATGCTTCATAAATATACTTTGCAGCTTGGAAATAATTTTTGTTTGTTTTGTCGACATTATTATAGGAATAATTAACTAATGTTGAGTGAAAATAGGAAGTGAGAGAAAGGAGTTTAATTTTATTTTTGTTAGGAGGTTGTCCTACTACTGCTGAAAATATATTGTGGAAGTATCATAAGGTTTTATTTTTGTAACATATGGTAAGGACATTGTGTTACTTCTACCCTAATGTTAACATTATTTGGTTGATTTATTTTTCAATTAGACATAATAAGTAATTGTAAGATTTAGTTAATATTGTTTTATGTACTTTGAATCAGCTACGGGCGGTGGATATAATGCTGTCTTAATGTAATCTTTTGCATTAATTTGTATTCTGTTTGTTCTTTTTTTTTTGGTTCGTTTGGCTTTTAAAATTAATACATTCCTGTTTGTCAAAATGTACTATCAGAATAAATTTATCTCATTGAATAAACTATTGTGTATACTTAAAATATTTTAAATACATTTTCGTTTTAAATGCAAAATCAACTATTATTATTTCTTAATAACATAATTCCTAAAAACTAATTGCTAGAAATTCTAGTATTATATATATTGCTAGTAATTTTAGAGATACTCTCTACCATAAAATATGGAGAACAAATTAGACCAATAACATGAGATATCTTTTAAACTTTTGAAGAAATAATTTACATTTATTCCTAAATTTTGTACTGCATGTGAACCTGTTTCCATTATACACTAAAAAACTTCTGTTATCACAGTTATTGTATATTAATACTTATTATTTTGTTTTACTTACGATTAACTTTAAGATATTGTATAATTACGATATCCATACCTTTCCCAATTTGTTACTACATGTGTTGGGCTATTTGAATAACAAATAGTTTCCAGTAATAAGTATAAAAAATATCTGCAAGATTCAATAATATCAAATGAAATGTACATAAAATGAACTAGATCAAAAACTTATTTTGTATATATACGTCCAGTCTTTGTTCAATGCCTGAAATAAAGAGAAATTAAATCAGATAAAATGTTTGAAAATTTAAAATTTTAAATTCGACGTCTTAAGCGGGGTATTAAGCGCCATCTGCCGAATTAGATATCACACTAGAATAAGTGATGTAGAAGTATGACACAAGAACTAGAGACGGGACTGGAACAGGTGATGTAGTTTTACGCTAAAATGTTAGATGACGCCATGCAGCCGTAAAGGAGAATATTTTATCAAATTATTTCTTTTATAATTAATGATTAAATAACCTTTATTAATGAATAGTGACGTTTGAGGGCAGTTTAACTTTTATGACTACGTAGTTCAAGCTTTGTGCACTTTCACGAAATTGAGAATACTTTTAACATATCTACCGATTAAACGATTAAACTACAAGTCAAACATCATCTATTATTTTGAATTCTTTTTAATTATTTGAAAGAATTTTCTCATTACAATTTAGGAACAAATTTAAAAATCATTATGTACACATTTACTATTTTAAAAAATTTTTTAGCTTTAGCGTAAACAGTAAGATATGCATACAAATACTTATACTGTGTATTATACATTAATCATTATGTACACATTTACTATTTTAAAAAATTTTTTAGCTTTAGCGTAAACAGTAAGATATGCATACAAATACTTATGCTGTGTATTATACATTATGTACACACAATTAAGAATTTTGCTTTTTGTTTCTTTCTTTTTAACGATACGTCCTAAAATAAACCACACGCGAAAATTTTAGATTTCTTGTAATCCAGTTTTTTATAATTGACAAATAGATGCATTTTAATTTTGTTCAAGTTTTATATTTAAATACTGGAAATTGTAATATGCGCAGATGAAGACACAAAATACTATAACAATTGTAATTNTATTTAATTCTTTCAATTTCTCGCTATATTTTTTCCGCAATTACCACGATTTACATATGTAAAAGTACTGCACAAATTAAAAAAACATTAGTTAGGTACATTCGTGCATTATAATTGTTTATCTGTAGAATTAATACGTAATGTCAAAACAAGACGAAATAATTTACTTGAAATCGTCCGATGTTAGAAACCTGAATAATAGTTTCTCAACTGATGTCATCCTGAAGAGTTTTTTTTTTGTATTTTTATTTTATCGCTAGTTGGAAGAAATGTTTTATGGTAAGCTTTTCGTCAATAACTTTGAAATATTTTTGTTTGTCATTAACGTGCCTGCATATATACCTTTTCATTCTCCTTATTGTGTAGACCGAACAATTAGAAAATTGAAAAATAACTTAATAAGAGACAATTTATTCAAATACCTCCGTATAATAAAGTCATTTATTGCCTGATGAATTAGTAGATCTAGACCGATTGAATAGTACTTTGTTTAATAAATGATATCACGTCGTATGCATTAAATAGACATTGTATCCTTAAGTGAATGCCGTGGTTGTCGACGGGCGACAAAATTGATTACGAGAGGAAAAACAATTAATAAAAATGCACTCCGTACATTTTACATTATTACCGATATTACGGAACTGTTATAAATAAAAATGACATAATCGATACTAGTAACACAATACAAACAACAAACAGATCTTATTAATAAACAAACCATTTGTCAACATTTGTTTTAATACAACTATTAGTTAAATAATCTATTTCTATTCACAAACGTAAGTTGTAATCATTTACAATTATTATTAAATACTCTGTTGCATCTAGTGTGTTGAATTTCGATACATTGATATACATAAATGCATAAAAGTTACAAAAATACTCCGGGAAATTTACAGTATAAGTTAAACCATATTGTTACTGTTCTTTTTTACCATTTGAATAAAAATTGAAATTATGAAAGACTAAAAAATTGATACCTACATATGAATTTTACAAACAATTTCATATATCCCCGACTTTTTTAAGAATGGAATTTTATCCTTAGGGTTACCAAGGAGAGTTTGAATGTAGTTGCCGTATCCTTACGGTTACCAAGGAGAGTTTGAATGGAGTTGCCATTTGAACTGTAAGCAATCCGTAAACCAAGTTTTCGAAAAATACCCTCGAGTCCTCGAGTAAATCTTGGCTCTTATGGCATAGTAATAAACTTGGTCTTATTAGCATCTGTTTGAAATTAGTTGTAATGACTGTAGTAAAAAATATATTGGACAAACTAGACGGTCAATCAAAACTAGATTTAAGGAACATCTAGCTCATGCAAGGTTTGGTAGAGAAGAAAAATCTAGTGTTGCCCGACATATTCTTACTGATGAACATAATATTAATATTAATAATCGTAAGTTAGTTAAGCAAGTTAAGAATAATCGTTTACTAGATAGTTTTGAAAGTTTATACATTTATAAAAATAAACAAATTGTTCTTAACATTGACAACGGTCCTATCCCTGGATTTTCGCTATTTACTCTAGTTTAATTACTTTTATGATTGTAAAGGTCCATTGAACATCTATCTTGTTGGCATTGGGTCATATTCACTGAACCTTAACAACTACTAGTATAAATTAGGATTCGTTCTCATTTAGGTTTAGTTTACTTCAGGCCCAGAAGAAGGTAACTTTGTTACTTCCAACTACAGTGTTGTGTTTTGGCGTTGGGGTTTTGAGCTATTCTGTTTGTTCTTCCTTTCTTCTTCCCAGTCCTTATCGACCTATTTTCACTTCCCAGGCTAAATCTTGCTGTTAAAACTAATTCGCTTTTACCTTATGTTGTTTCATATTTCAACTAATTTGATTTTTCCTCCCTTTCTTTCCATATTTTCTCTTCTTGTTTGCTTATCAATATCTTTGGAGCTCTTTCTATACAATTCCACCTTTTTCCAGTTTCCACCTGTAATTCTTGAACCAAAAAATTGTTTTCTGCAAACAAAAAGCTTCACATCAAAAATTGTTGGTAGCAGGAGTAAGTAAGAAAGTGATCTTAGGAAAGCTCTAGCTCTGGGACAAATCTAAAGCGAGATACTAATATAGCGATAGGAAGTCGAAGATAATTACATTTTTGGTTAAATTATCCGTGTGTTTTAAATAGTACCTACTGCTTATTAAAGAACTAAAAGTTGAATGTTTTGTATTTTGAAATTATTCTTGGTTCAGATGCATTACGACTTGGCGTCGCATTACAGGGCCGAAGCCACGTGTACACCAGCTTAGGGAATATTTGCAGTCTGCCCCAGTCACTAGCTTGAATTTATTAAAGTTTCCAAAATTTTTTAAGT